TGATGAAGATGGTTGGCCGGGGCATGGGGTGGTCGGGCACCTAGAGTGGAGGTAGCCACCCTGGTGCCGAGGAGGCCTAAGTGGCTGGTCCACGTTGCATGGTTGGTGGGGGTTGCAGGAAAGGCAGTTCCCGAGGCCTTGCTGCTGGGATGGGCTGGTAGGGGTGAAGGTCAGTGATGTCATCATGAGGTAACCAGTAGCTCCTGAGCGTCTGGCCCCCAGTGAAGTTGGTCAAGGACTGGAGAAGCCAGGAAAGGGGGGAGGCGTGGGTAGGGGGGGGCAGAGCAGAGACAAAATGGGTGAAAGGCAGGCCCGTAGCTACAGTGGGGCATCTTGGGGCCCGGCCCCCTGACCTCCCGTCACGGCCGCCCGACTTCCCAGACTGCCCAACTTCCCATTTTTTATTTTATTTGTGGTGCTCCCTGGGGGGGGTGGTGTGCAGGGTGCCCCCTGACTTATTTAAAGGCCCCCTGAATTTAAAAATCCTGGCTGCAGCCCTGTTGAAACGTGGAAGTGGAGAGAGGATGGTGGAGGCAGAGCTCAGAACATTGACAGCAGCTGGGAGAAAAGGACTTGGCGTGATAGAGGGAGAGCTGACAGGGGAAGAGGAAGAGTCCCAGAGGCGAAGGTGGCAAGGAGGAGAAGTCCAGATGTCAGTGAGGAAAAAGGAGATGGAAGCAGTGCTTCTTCTGAGTTGTGGAGTCTTGTGAGCAAAACATTCTACCTTGTGAGCTACTGCCATTAAAGTTGTCAGCGAGTGATTTGACTGCTCCATAAATCAGTTTGCACTGGAGCCCTCCTTCCTGAGCAGAGATAAAAATGTGTGAGCTGGAGGCTAAAAACCTGTGAGCTCGCTCACGCAGCTCAGAGGGAACACTGGTTGAGATACGTTGCCTTGATTCCTGACCACGGCCTGACCGCACACATACACAGTATGGTGGCATACCCCTAGGTAGCTGGACTTCCCAGCAGCAACCAAGGGAAGACGGAGTAAGAATCAGGAAGTGGTGGCAAGCCACCCAGAAGAGAAGTCCGTGGAAGTGGCATCAGATCTCAATCAGGCCCTTAGTCCATCAAGGTCGGTTTTGTCTACTTAGACTGGCAGCCTCTCCCCTGGGTTCTCGGGCAGCTGTTTATCCTATCTCCTGCCACCTGATCCTTTAGCTGGCGATGCCGGGGGTAGAAATAATAATAATAATGCGATTGATTAATCGCTTTCCCCACAAGTGGGCTCAAAGTGATTTACAGTTACTCTTTAGACAGGGGACTAACCATGTTTCATAGGGGATAGGGAAGACAACATATAATTCATTTAAATTGCACACGCCGTAACTGCCCGGTGGAAATGTTTCTGGCTTGGCTCAGTCATTTTCCGAACGGCTGCGTTTCGACCGGCTTGATGACGTTGGGGCTTATTCCCACCCTCTCTAAGGAGTGGTTCCCATTTTATCTACTCGCCGAGGCTTTCGGATCGCTGGGTGGATGATGAGCTGGGGACAACAGGCTGGCAGCTCACACCAGCGCGGGGCTCAAACTGACACAGTTCGGATGTTAAGACAGTGGGATATACCCACTGTGCCACCGCCCCCCTGGG